CTCCTTTACGCTGTCTTTATCTTGCACCTGGGTTCTATATAAGGGGTGGACAGGAGCCACCAGACCTTGAGAGGCCAATCCGACCTATGGGTGACCAGGTCGGCCTACAGGGACCGAGGCCAGCCTTGGGCGACCAGGCCGATCGACGAGTGGTTGATGACGATCCACATCGCTACCGTTTAACCGACATTGTCGGTCTACATGACCCTATAAGTAGTTAAGTTAACCGGTCATCACGGTTGGACCCAACGGCCACTGTTTCCTTGTGATTTCCAGGTATCCGAGCCTTTTTCTCAGCCACGAGGTCTCAGGTCCATCCGGCTCGTCGACCCTTAAGTCCATCATTTTCAAAACGTAGCTTCACCACACATTCTAGGATTAAAATCTCCGAATGATCAGCTCACCAATGAGGGTTTAGCCCTCATGTGCAACAGCATTGGCTTTGAGGACAATAAGTCTGCGTTCCATGTTTGCTTTAATCCAATCTACGCGCAATCGTATTTGAAATTCTTGCAGGGAGCTACAAGCAAACGGATGATACCTATGTACCACAAATGTAGATTAAAATTTTATTTTGATTTAGAAAGCGCATAGAGAAAAAAATCATATTAAATGCGTACCTGGATCGAGCCGCTCGATGTTGGAGATCATGTTAGGCGGATGCAAGACTACAGCGATGTTGTTAAGTTATATTCGGACTTGTGACTGGAAGCGTTATCGAGAAAAAGTAGGACTTTGCGACCACGTATCCAAATATTAAATTGTTGCACCAACTGACTTCAGATGATTCTAGATCTTCAGGCGTTCGACTTTGCAGCGTATAGGATGCCGCACTTCACAATCTCTACACCCTTAAAATTCTTGACCAATTTTTTTTTAAAGAAAATAGGCTTCATATTGTTAGATACACCTGTGTTGCAGCATAGAGAAACTACCATCCGAATCTTTGCGCTCGTTCCTGACGTTGTTTCAGACCGTGGAAAGGGAATGTGCTCACTGGAAACTAAACAAACAATGATTTTTCTATCAAGTTAAAAACACAACACTCGTAAAATATTTCTCAATCAATAACGGTCCAAGAATTTGCTGCTTGCACTTCCTTAATGCTTAAGCTCTCGCTTTCGCCGTCCAATGTGCGGCTCTAGATTTTTTCCATTTAATACATCTCTGGAGCCAGCTTGTGGAAATAATAAGGATGTAAACTTCTAGTTGCTAAGTTCAATTACAGTCGAGCTGCTTTCTCTAGGACCATATCTTTGGATATTCCGTCACGCACGCGCTCTTAACAGACTTTATGTAGCTCCTTCACGAAACCAAAATGCTTCATGCGTCGTTTTTTACTCTAAAAATGAAGCCCTTGTAGTCGATTTTTCCAACATTTATGAGTCGATGCGCCATTGATTTTTCAATGCTGATATGGAACAGAATGCTCACATACTTATTCATTATAAAAATGTGCATGAGTATGAGAGCGAGCAGAAATTTGGGCTTTCTTTGTAGTGTTGAAGGAAATTGTACTTTTCTCTAGTGAGAAAAATGCTCACTTTTTAAAAACATTGGTTGCTCGGGCTTGATGTCGACAAGAGATTTTTGTTGAAGTGGACTTGTTGGACCAGTGGTGTAGAAACGTAATAAAAGTTTTTAATCCATTTTAATATATTTTGCCTTTCGACATAATCATTTGTTTTCTTCAGTATCTTTTGTCATGAAGTATCAGTAGAATGCGCGTCATAGGCTCTTATATCAGGACAAGTTTTCCATCTTCCCCCAAATTCACGTTCGAGGTCAAACGACGTACCTGAATTGGCTTAACGTTATGGCAAATTTTCTGCCATAAAAATTGTCACATCATTTAGGTGAGCCCTTAAAGCTTCATATCACTACCTTGAAACACACCTCCAGGAACCTAAAAAAGCGGTTTTACCGTCTTCTCTCGCGTGCGGTGAGGTTCGAGTGAGCGTCTTACGAATAGCTCATTTGTGATGTTCGCTTATAGTGTGTGTGGATTGGATGCGGGTTTCCGTCCTCCGGCACACACGTAACAAAGATTGAAAATTATAAACTGATTTCTTGATGATGAATGTCAAACAGAAATCTTAAATGTTTTTGGGTAAAGACAAAGACTGGATGGGCGCTCTGATCAGACTTCGTTTTTAAAGCGTACTCAAATGAATATAAACGCGGTGCTGACATACTTTAATGACGTCAAGTAGCGACGTCATCGTTCGAGGTTAAAATTTATGATAAAAAAAGCTTGTCCTGCACCAAGCTGCGTTACTTGGTTTTTGTATGCTGACTTCATTTAAGATACTTAAGAAATCGGGTACTAAAGTAGCGCTCACCAACCACAACTTATTCTCCACATTAAACTGGAAACAGTCCCGCATTGCCTGCAAATTTGCACATTTTTTCATGCTTCAATGGTGCTGACGATAGAGCAAAAGCATCAGATAGAGGTGCATATCACACGCACACCAGGAATAAAACCGTCTTAAATACAAGACTGGGTCAGAGAAGAGCTCGGCCTTTGGATTTTCACAACGGCAACAGAACGGATTCTTCAGGCAACAGCCAACGCGTTTTTTTTCATGGGCAGTAAGCGCAATCAAAAAGTGCTGTTTCAGCGTTTAAGGCCGCGTTCCTCGCGTTCTATATTCTCAATGACAACAGAGCGACTCTCACAAACTGTATACTACTAGAAAAAAGGTCACTTTATCCGAGAAGCTGAAGGGATGAACATGAACGACATGCGGCTTTCAAATTAATAGCTACACAAATTCAAGACTCGACATGTTATCGAGAAGCATGAGCTTCAGGGCGAGGCAAAATCATCTGATCGCGCTTACCTCGTAATGACATAAATTGAGATTGAAGAGTTGATTGGACAACATTCACCATAAGATGTAATCAATTTAGACGAATCAGCTCTCTTCTATTGCCTTTCTCCAAACAAGAAAGTGGCAACGGTCAAGCGGTCCGGAAGGAAGTCAGAAAAGGATCGTATCACGGTCCCCATTTGATGCAACGTGGCCGGCACCGAGAAGATGTATCGTGTTGTCATAGGCAAGTCAAAGCGACCACGAGCATTTCGCAACGCCAACAACCAAAACATGAAGTTTTGTACTTCATCAATCAGCATACGTGGCTAAACAGGTCAACATTTGCTTAGTGGATCTGGAATTCCGATGTCGACATTCACGGTAGGCTATTGCTTTTCCTGCTAAACAACACGTCGTCCTTTTATGGCGCCATTAAAAGCTGATACATCAAGCTTAAATTTCTGTCGCAAACGTGACAGCACATTTGCAACCGCTCGATGCAAGTAAGTATAAATGGATGTTCTTATGGCCAAAAAGTGTTTCCTTCTGATACGTGTTATTCGGTTATCTTAAAGCACCGTTTCTAGATTTTTTTGTCTGATGCTCCTGAGTGCAATCCACACTAGAAAAGACAGAAAGTTGAATATCCTACGGCTGTCATTTCGCCATTTCAACCTGGGAGGAGGTACCCAAGCAGGTGATTCGCAACTGCTAGAGCAAGTGTGTTATCGTGGGGGCGGTGACGCTGGCCGAATTTAACCAACACGCGACTACAAAAATTCATCAATCGATATGTAGAGGACGAGCTGACCAAGCTTATGGAAGGTTCTACTTGCAGCGTCAGTGTCATCGAGTACAATTTGCGCAAGACTACGAGCCGGTCGAGTGCAACGCAGAGGTGATAGAGCGTGAGGCGATTGAGAACGACAAAGATGGTGGCAGTGCCGATGAGGTGACGATTAGATCACCCGAGGCTCTGTAATGTTGTCTCCGTCAGTAATTACTTTTTTGCTACAGCACGACGGTGACTAATTAACCAAGAATCTGTCAAGTATCTCCAAGCACGTTACAAAAACAGTGCTTGATGCGAAAAACTCAATGGATGTTCTATTATAAGGGTTCATTTTGACCTTCCAAATGCGAGAGTTCTATAAAAGGAACGAGGCAATCACGTCACACGTTTCGGTCCGCTATATGGAGGGACGAGTGTGGGCCGTATCGTATTCATTACAACGTGTGAGGTATGTTTAGCGTTACTCATTTACCCAATAGGTTACAGACTCCCCGCACGTATTGCAACTTGTAAGGTGCACCTGGCCCTTTGCATCAGTTCCAGATTATGCGCTTACACCCACACACATGCACACGATGTTAGAAACTGTTGTGGTGGAGTGGCAATCACTCATTTTATGAGGTGATCTCGGCTCTCCACTGGTGCCCAGAAGATCGACTATCGGAGAGGGTGCTCCGTTTCCGTTTCTTGTAATTCCTTCCTCACCTTTTGTACCCGTCGGTAGGGCGGGATGCACTCTTCTCGGTGGACTTGTGTCAAAAGAAAACCGACTGTGCTTGGAGTGGGTTGGTGTGATTAAGCGGAAATCTTCGACCGATCACGGGGTACTTGTAGGGTGTTTGATATAAGTCACCCAAATCTCAACGAGATCGCCTAGTCCCTGTGTGGATGCGTCCCTCTGACCACTTGAGCCGTCTCGAGATCTTGCGTCTTGTCCTTTTCGTTCTTGCTGCGTCCGATCGCAGTTGGGGGATGAGAATTCTTGATCCCCAGCAATGATCCGGGATATCATTTGGTTTTAGTATGCGTGACCTTCTTTACGTCGATGGGAATATTCCATCCCGGAAGAGAAGTCGACGCGTGTACTTAGAAGCGAAATGAGTTCTGTTCAATGCCGACCAAATAAAAGCTAAGACTGTGACTATGTCTGTCTGTATGCTATGATGTTCTGCCACGTGTCCCCTTAATTCGGTGATGATCTTCGCATGTGTGGTCCACTTTAGACAGATCGTCGATCTCCTTGGCCGATCGTTGTCCGTCGATATCATTGTCCAATCGCTGATCGTCGACCTCCTTGGCCTATCGCTGATCGTCGACCTCCTTGGCCTATCGCTGATCGTCGATCTCCTTAGCCGATCCCTGATCTTTCCGATTGCTGATCTGTCCGATCATTGATCTCCTCGATAGTCAATCTCCTTAATCAACTTGCCTCCTTTATTGATCTCGATCTCTTCTACCGGCTGTCGATCGCCTTCCAGTATCTTGATCTCTGCCGATCTGTCAGCCATATCCCCGACCTTGAACATCTCATACTTCCTCAATATCGGTACATTGGCTTGATCTTGGTAACTTGACATTCAATTCCATTGTCGTGATATTTGGTTGCGGTATTGCTATATTCGCTCTCGGTGTCGTGATAGTCGATCTTGATACTGTGATATTCGCTCTAAGTATTGCGCCCCTAATCAACCAGTCAATCCCTCTCAACGATTTGTCACCGTTGGAGATCACTCCCTTTATCGATCGCGCTTTCTGCCAAAATCGCTCCACCACAGCGGTCCCCTGCGCTGATTACCGGCATACAGTGCTGGTGTATCAGTGCACTTCGCCAGTTGTCTGATCCACTCTTAAGTTCCACTTAGACCCGTCGTCACAAGCATGGAGGGTTCCGACCATCGGTCGATTTGCCGCCTAGGCCCGTCTGACGCACAAAGTTCTCCATCGCCAAAAACGCCCCCACTGGGTTCTTCTGCGTCTTTTGCAAGCAGCCGGTTGAACTTCCTCCCTGCGGTCGATCGACGCTCCTTGCGGTCCGATATCAATGACCTCTTCGATTGCGCTGAGGCCCGCCAGGATATCCAAAACGATTATGGCGCAATGCATGATCAGTTAAGGGCTCAAGAACTTCGTGGTGATCGTTTGAAACGGCAGCTGCATGATGTTTGCGAATTCTTAGGACCGATCAGACAATACTTCAACCAACGTTATCACGATATGCGTGACAAGTTGGAAGACCCCGAGCGTAAGGTTGCGGAATTCCAAGACGAGTTGGCTGACCGAGAACACGCCTGGAGGAAATCGATCTTGAAAACAGCTCTCTTGAAGCTTAAAACGGCCAGACATGCTGAGCAAGTGAAAAATCGGTGTCAACTGGCTGTATTGCAAGACTATTTAGATTTAGTGATCGAGTCTTCCCAGAACGCCAATGCTCAAGCGAAAATCCAGATCGAAGACGCACAAGATCACTTTTTCGCCCGCTTGTACGCGATCATGCAAGAGTTAGCTATGGCCCAGCGAGACATGGGTGAGATCAAGGTTTAACGCGATCGCTTCGCAGTCCAGATTTTCGGTCTTACGGCTCAACGCGATTGGTTTAATCGAGATCTCACCTATCGGGACGTCGACTGTAGCCAGTAAGTGGAAAAGCTGGATGCGTTAATAGCTGAATGTGATCAAGTGCTTCAGTCGAGGATTTAATCTTCACTCGCATGGCTGAACTGGTCGCCAGCGTCTCTTCGAATGATTTGCCCGCATATACTGTACCCCCAAAAAGGATTCCCCCCTTCGACGGACAAGCTTGGTTAAAACCAAGCGTGTCCGTCGTGCCAGATCGTCGCCGGGTCGATCGACGCTGCCTGACCCATCGATTACCGATCGCTATCGTCGGAGCGATGGGAAGCCAGCGATCGTGCAGAGTCTCCACCTCGATCGGCTTCCCTTAACCCGTTTGGTTCTCGATTTCCGTCGTCCAAGGGATCGGAGGGTGACGATCACTGTGATCCTTCTTCCGCGGACACTGATGATTCACTTTTGGCAGCACTTTCGTCGTCTCGCTCTGCCGCCCGACGTAGAGCTACGTCGCATTCCAGGAAATTTTCGCCTTCCAAGAAAATTTCCGCCTTCCAAGAAATTGTCGCCGATCAAAATCGATGTTCCCAGGACAAAACCCCAATTTCCTGATACAGCCAAGCGAGTATTCATGACGTAGTTGTTTGGACAGCCTATTAGCGACTATGACGGTGCTCTCAGCCTTTCGGGTGATACTCGGAGCCCCTGCAATTTACTGTTGCATCCTGCAAAAATTTCAGTGCTTACTGACACCCACGTACCTCGCGATCGCTGGATTCTGGGATATCGCGATCGGATTTTGCGATCGGCCGTGAACGTATGTCCTTGGTCGGCTAGAAGGATCAGTTCGATCATCGTGTCGGAGCTTGACATCGACAAGTTATTCCGCCATTTTTATAAATAAAGTTATATATGTTCCTGGTAACCCAAGGCAAGATCCTTGCTCCTCCGAAGTCTTCTTGGTCTCCCATCTGGTCACTTCCTTCACCAAGATCCAGCAGCCCTACAATCAGCAACCGTGGGACAGATAGTAAACCCGAACTTGTTAAAACTTTCTGGTTGGTTTCAGAAACTGTACGATGCGTATCTTGGTTTGTGGAAAGCCATCGTCAAGCTTTGTGGGAGTCGACACACTTCGTGTAAATTCCCCTGCCCAGCGCAAATCGGACCCAGACTTGGCTGCCTTTGCTTAAGAAAGAAGGCAGCAACAATCTCGTGCTGGTCCGCGATCGAAAAGGTTGTTACAGGTGGTTTTGCAGGGAATGATCGACGGGCTTTGCGATCTTGACGTCTTGTTACATTTAGTGTTCCTTCACTTTCTCTCCATAACAAAAAACAGAGTGGTATTCCGGCCTGTCTGTAAAGCGGGCCAATATGTTCAACCTGATCACCGCTCTATCGATCGATCATGCTGCAGAGCGTTGGAGAAACCAACTTTGTGGTTAAATTCCCTCTTACCTTGGGTCGTCTCTTACTCGCTTGGTCGGTAAGTTCCTTGACCGAGAATAATTACTAGGTCAGTTTCCATAACGCGATCTCTCAATGTATTCTTTTTTTTCGTGTCCATTCGATCGCTCCCATAATTCTTATTTCTTCCTTTTATTGTTTCTTGGTCGCACCAATTGTCTTCCATCGTCGTACTCAATTTACATTTATTCTATTCCATCTCCAAGTACAACCCCTTTACATCTATAACTCTCCCCTTTGTCCATGCTTTTCTTTTGCACAAACCCATCCAATTAAGCTCTCCAATCGTTGCTATTCTCCTACTTTCTCTTCGTGCAATTGCATTATTTTATAACGATTCCTGCTCACCCAATCGCGACCAACTCTTGTATCACAGCTCCACAATTTAGATCGATCCAGGTCGGGTAGATGTACTCCTTCCATGGCACTAGGAACTGTTTGAGTATTCGTCAATATCTTGTCTTTCGTCGCGATTGCACATCGATGATCTTGTCCACTTCAAACTCATTCAAGTCAAGGCCACCCTCCCAGCTGTCGTCCAAAAGTAACGCTTCGTCAAAATTAAACCGACTCGCCTCGCCGACATTTAGCTCACCTGTTGGGCATTCTGGGAATAGTTGAACTAGCTTCAGCTTAGACAAGTAGACTATTGGAAATAGCCGGTACGGCGTGCCTGCGATTTTTAACTTTACGGCGTGATCGCTGCACTTCTCGGCCACTCGGACAGGTCCATGCCACGTATAAGCTAGCTTTCGAGCAAATCCTTCCTTGACCCAGTCTAGAAATAGCCAAACCTGCAAGCCACGATCGATATAAAATGAATCTCGAACTTCATTGTGCCGATCGGCTCGACCTCTGATCGCAGACTCCAATCGTTCATTCACTATCGCCCGAGCACGTTGGTATTGGCGTTATAATATTATCATCTTCGGGCATCTCGATCCCGGGGCTTTGTGCTTCCCAACGGCAAGGTAGCTTTTAAGGTCGATCTTGGGCCCGTCCATAAATAAAGTAGATTAGTGTATCTCCTCGAATTCGATCTTGAGCGGTGTTGATCGCATAGGTAAATCGCTCCGCATATTCGTTCCAGTCCTTTTGATTCTCATCCATGGCATACATCTTGACTGATTTAGTCAGCGTTTGCACCAAGCGTTCGGCTGTACCATAAGCTTGCGGTCCGTACGCCATAGTGGCCCGTTGTTTTTGTCCTGCCATCTAATTAAATGCTCGCCAGAAATTAGACATAAATTCTGGATCACGATCGTGGCGTATCGTCTTACTCGTACCGAATCGTCGGGACACACACTCCTCGAAGTTTTCTGCGATTGTCTGGTCAGATCTGGGCGAGCTTTCCTTTGCGATCAAATATCTAGGAAACAGATCGACCCACAACAGTGGCATGGTGTTTCGTTTAAACGATCTTGGCAACGAGGGGATGTGATCCATAGCTATAATTTGAAATGGGTGTGTCGAGTGCACATTACCAGGCGATACACTTTGATCCATCAGTCGTCCCTTTCCTGTTTCAAAACCTGTGCACTCTCCCACATACCGCTGTAAAATTCAATACAACCCGCGCAAATGAAAACTCGCTCTGATTCGCTGATAGGTACGACCAACTCCTTAGTGACCACCCTCCAAACTCGTGTGGTAATCATGCAAGAAATCTCGCTTTATTTTTTTTTGGAACCACCAAACGAGCCATTTAAGTGCGATCTTCAGCTTCGGTGGCTGATCTCGGACCCAAAAACTGCAGTCCACTTTGGTCCACTTCGTAGTCCGGTGCGATCATGACACATACATTCGCTAAGTGGCTAATAGTTTGGCTATATCTCCAATCAGATAAATCTTCAGACTAGATATCCAACTTTTTTCCTATTGTGCTAGTTTAACACGAACGATCCTTATCTGCTGCAGCACCATTTTGTGTAACATCCTGGGCTGCAACGTCTTCTCTGGGCTGATTGGGTGATAGCCGTTACGTTGACCAGACAATCGAACTATTCGGTTAGTAGCATATCATTTAGCCTATTGAGAATGACCAGGTCTCAACGCTCTTGATCGGAAACATCAAATTTCCCTTTCTCTTGCCGTAGAGCCTCACGCGCCAGTCGATCTGCATTCTGATTCCAGATCCTCTTCATGTGTAGGAACTCGTCAGTTGGCCATGATCTTAATTTCTACATAGCCCTATGCTTCAGCAACTGCAAACCCGGCGCTTTACAGTCGATTTCTCCTCGCATTCGATGAATCGCCGAATTATAATCTCCACCGAATTTCACCCGTTACCTTGCCTGATTGGCAAGAAAATCGAAACTTTAAAGCAGCCCACGATTTTCCGCTTCATTAACGGTTAGGTCAGGGACAAACTCGGAAGCCGCAGTTACAATCGTCCATTGTGACAGTTTCCATATAGCCACGCTGTATAGTCCACCTTTTCTTTTCACCCCGGATGATCCATCAAAACTGGCTACTAGCAGAATTTTTTTCACCCCCACTGGAGATAGTGGCATGCTGGTCGTCTGCCTTGACTGTTTTCTCGGGGCGATCGAAATTAATACTTCATCTACTTCTTCCCGAGGAGTTATACTTTCCGCCAGCATGCCGAGTATTCCATCTTTTCCCTTTTCTGATCGCCTATTTTCCAAACGTCCAGTTCGATAAAAAAGCAGCCCATCGTCTTAACTTACGTTGAGGCCTGACGATTGTAGTCACCACGCTAATGTCGAATGTCGCGTAAGCACCGTAATCTCCCGGGATACCAGAATCTTATAACAGATGTCTAACATCCGGAGGAGGGCCAACACCTCTTTCTCCATCATTCTGTATTAAAGCTCGTTGGGTTTTAGCGTATGACTCGGAAAGGTAACGGGCCAATACATGCTATCATCTTCTTGAAGCAAAGCAGCTGATGCAGCCCCCTTACTATCATATGATGTAATCACAGGCGGTCGTTTGGTATCAAAATGTTTCAAAATCGGAGCTGTGGCTATCTTAACCTTTTAACAACTTAAATGCGATAATTGCTTTCTCCCATTGATTTCTGCCATCGGAACTGTGATCGTCCCCTGTAATTGGGTACCGATAGACATCGATTTCCGGTTTTAGGTATAGATTGTGATCGTACCCTGCAATTGGGTACCGATCGACATTGATTTCCGATTTTAGGCACAATCTGTGATCACCCACTCCATTCTCTTCATGATTAGCCTCCGGCTTTATGGTGGAGATTGGTTTTGGAGCTTCACTAGCACGATTAATCTTAAGGAAATCTGCTTCCCGCAATTCGTGCAACACAAATGCGCAAATGGCGAATTCTTTAATGAACCTACTGTAATAGTTGAGACTCTTCATAAAATGACTGTATCGCTCGCAGTGTCCAAGGTAACGGGACATTCACCGGCGATTTCAGATCTTTCGGAATAGCTTCCAAACCTGTAAGCGAGATTTGATGTCCTATTTATTCCACCTTGCGACGTCCTCAATCCTTTTGGCCAGACTGATGGACAAATTACACTTATCGCACACATCCAACAATCTCTCCACCTTTTCACACAGAGCATTCCACGACATAGCTGGTATTAAGATGTTATCGATATTATATCTTCGACCCAACACTTACGGCTTTGGATCCGTATCTGGTTCACCTTCGGTGTATACATTGATCCACTCCGGCGATTCGGCCGTGATCAATTCGGATCTATGCCAATTTTTTAATGTCCATGCAGAGCATTATCGATCAGACGCTGGTATATCTGCGGACCTTTTTTAACCCGAACGGCATCCGTAACCACTCAAACAAACCGGATGGAGTGATAAAAGAGGAAATTGCTCTTGCCCTTTCAGTCATTTCCACGACCCAAAAACCACTCGCCATATTTAGGGAACACTACCGCATGGCTTTATCCATGTCTTGCAGCAGTTCACTGATCAGTGCCATCAAATACACCGTCAACCCAACTGGCTAATTCTCCCGCCTGTCAACAATACACAGCCTTATATCTTCTTCGTTTTTCTTGATGATCACCGCTATGGGTGAAGCCCAAGGTGATGTAGATGGTCGAATAATCTTGGCCGACAATTGTCCCTTAAAAAAATTAGCGAGTTTTTCTCGGAATTTAGGTTCCACCGATCGGACCCGTTGTGCGATCAGATTAACTCCTCCCATATCGATGTCACAAACTGCTCCACGCGCTGCAGGAGGCAAAGCGTTACCCTTTTTCTAATAAATAGATACCGGCTCTTCCAAATCATTTCGCGCAACTTCTCTTAATCTTTGCTTCTTGGGGTGTTGAAAATCGCCTACGTAAAGGTCATCAATCTTTATTTTCTGTATAGGCATATCCAATTCAAATTTTTTTTTGCCATGTGCTGTTCCACATCTTCTGCAAATAACTCGCCGCCATCATGGTGATACCTTTATGTTGACGTTGACTCATCTCTCGTCGTATCCTTGTCGATCTTGGTATTACTCACTTTCTCAATCCGTTGATCGGCCCGATCTTGTGACTCACGATCTTCCTTTTTTATCTCTCCAGGTTGACAGCTGGACTGATTATGGGTCGGATCAATTCCTATATATCCATTACCCCCAATTTTGTTTAAGTCGTGTCGCATCGGCATTGGTCATTCTCTAACCCGACCGCCTCTTTCCCGGCTTCGATCGCATCGATCACCATTGTGGATCTCATGGTAATCTTGTCTTCTGCTGGCGATTTGATCTCCACTACTCCGTCGCCCTCAAACGTGTCGCCCTCAACCAGTCCATCGGTCTGTTCTTGAAATTCACCTTTTATAATTGCGATCGTCTCTGGCTGATGTACGGATCGACTGTGCAACGGATAAGCTTCCTCGTGTCTGATCTCATCCGTCGCAATTAGTCTCTCGTCATAAATCTCTTCTTTGCGCTGATCACGTCCTTTTACAGCATGAAACGTCTCCTTGTTTGTGTGGATCGCCGAAGATAGTTCTGTTGATCGTTGATATAACATCGTCGTGTGGCTTTCGACCACGATTTGGTCTTGACTCTCTTTTCCGTTGGTAATTTCTTGGTCCGTTTACGACATGTTCTTCCTCGAACTCTCTGTTGCTTGGCGGGGTAAAATTCGAGTGAAAACTTCATATCAGGATGATCCACCAATGGCCCTGCCTACTCTTCTACTATCTTTTGCTCTCGTTCCGTAGACGCTACACACGCTATCGTTTGCCATTCTGTTTACCGTCTTTATCCGATTGATACCCACCCTAATGATCTAGTTAACAGATCTTATGTCATCCACAAGGCTAACGAAGCACCATGATTTAAAAATATCTCACGATCACTGAGGTTTGGGAGCTGCAGATACTTGATCTGGACTGGCCCATTAGTGACCGTCGGCACTTATGTCACTCCCCGCCTCACCCAAAGCTTATCCTTAGGTGGGCCAACCCCAACACGGACCTCAACCGATTTGCAACCGTTATGACCACATGTTGATCACTCAGGTTGATCGCCTGTATGGTCAATCGGTAAGGAGATTTTCGCCCTTCTTGAACAATTCGCACCTCGTCCGGTAGACATAACGTCCCGCCGGTTAAGTCTAAACGGATACCCGCTGAAACCATTAAATCCATTTCTAATATAATCTCTTAGCCTTTTTTGATCGCCCACCCAAACATCGAAATAATAAACTCACGATCCGTCCAGAGTGATCGTGATTTTCGTCCGCCTCATCCTCACATACGTATTCTCTTTAATTTTAACACACTCTTGTGTTCGACTGCTGTCGATCACACAAATTACCTTACGAGCAAAGGAAGTATCGAGGATCGACACTTCACCGCCAGATTCGAACAGCATCGTGGCTTTCTAACTTTTGATCTTGCCAACCGCCTTAGATTGCTTGAACCATTTTCCAGGGGTGTGGTCTTTCCAATACCCGCGCAATTCCCCTGGTGCGAGGTCGACCTCCATCCTCACAGGCAATCGGCCGTAATTATCCACCCTTTTCAAACTTGATATTGGCGAGATCAATGTAGAACTTTTATGTATATTAGCGATCGAGTAGACCCGATCGTTAAATTCTTGATCTCTCCGCGGACCTTTAACAAACGCAATAATGCAGAGCCTAGAACGCTCGGCTCGTGCCGTATTCCAACCTGGAGAGGGTTTTTAGTTCAACATCTCCTCCAATTCGGGTGGAAACATTCCAGCGTGTTTCGTTGGCACGTACCTTTTTCGAATCAAATTGACGAGTTCCTCCATAAGACACTTGCCACTTTCATGTATATCCCCGCAGGCTGCACACACGAAGAAGCATTTGTCCGAGGGATGTACCTTGCGAGCACAGTTCTGGAATGTCAACGGCTTCCAACACCCTCGAACATCGTGTCTGGTAGACCCACAATGGGCACACACCTTCGATCGTCCACTACGATTGCGTCCTTCTCCTTCACCAGTGTTCTTCTGCCAGGTACGCTGTTCCTTGTTCGGATGATCTTGATCGGGTGTAGTCGTTACACAAACACGACGACGATCCAAATCATCTTCGGATCCAGTCGACTCCGATTCCGATCCGCCGTTCTCGACCTTCTCTCGGATCGCTAGCACCACCCGAGTCGTCTTAAACATTATTGGATTTGAAATTGCGATCGCTCGCTGTTAGAATTTGTTCGATCCCATTGACACCTTCATCTGACGATTCTCCATCCGGTCACATGCCCGGAGAGTTTCTCCATCCCCTCAACATCCATCAATCGCAGTAGGGTTTTGTTGTTTTAACAGATCACAATCGTCCATCGTAGCAATGAAATGTTCCACGTGTTCGCGGCGCGTGACGGCGGTAGCCGATCTCTCGTCTTTAATCTCGATCTTGGCATTCTTGGCTGCTACATTAAGACGATGCAAGTATTTCAACGGGGTTTCGTCGGATCGCTTCCGCGCGAGGTAACACTGCCTGGCCACTGAGACACCTTGTTCACCATGCTGTTCCATAAAACAAGGTAGCAATCGTTTTCACTTGTATCGTGTTGATCGGTACAGCTCGTTGTACCATTTTGCGCGGGTCCCGTCAACAGGTAGCCGAACACCAAGCAATTTTCTTCATCTCGTGCCTAATCGCGCAAAAACGCCGACTTGGCCTTGCTGATCCAGCTTCGAGCTCGATCATTTCCACTAAATTTTATTCAGCTCCGTCATTGCTGACACTCGAATGCGCTGGAAATTTTTACCACCCTCCTGCAACGTCTCTGTGGTGGCCATCATCACGCGTCGCCGCTTATCTTGGCTCGAATCGTCGGGATTAGCATCTTCAGGATCAAGGAAATCCGATTGACTGATATGCTATCGCACCGATTTTATCTCGACATCCGGTGTATACGTTTCGCAAATTTTCGCAGGCTTGATCCTTTGACTTGGGTAGATCGCTTGATACGCCAGTTCCCGCTGATCTTGTTGAAAGCGCTCCATGGCTTCAGTGAGTTAGCTCTGCAGGTTTCCTTGCATCAGTGGCGTCTTTGTCCTTTTGCGACGATAATCGTCGATCGCGGGTAGACCTTGATCCTCATAACCCGATCACGTAGATGTGCTACCCCACTGGGGCCCAGAAAAGTCATCTGAATACCGACCGATTCTTCCGATTCCATCTCGGATTCCGCCGAGGCGTCCTGCGACGATCCGGTATGGTATCCCCTTGGGACGTTGGCGATCGCATTGGCATCTTGATCTGTGGGTTCGCATCTCCTCGTCAGTGGAAATAACTTGTCATACAGCGATTGGCACGCGTGGACCACTTGATCTTAATCGCACTGTAGCATCTTTTTCGCATCGAAAACACCAGCAACGTATCCAACGTCATGTAGTAGCTTGATGATTGCGTCGATTCCATCTTGCGGGTTCTCTGCCGCCTCTGTGGGGATATCGTATCTTAAATTTCTCCGATCCGCTTAAACTTCAGTATCTTGAGCAGTGGGTCGATTGATAGCAAATTCTTGAGCGTCTTTCGGTGATATCTCTGCGTTTATTGATACAACTGCCAGCCTTCCATCTTCATATCCGGAGCATCATCCACGAACTTGATCGTTCGCTCGCTCGATTTCGCGCTGCGATCGTGTTGATTTGATCTGGACTCGTCTTTCTACAATCGATCTGTCTTCCCAATCTTCTTCTTCGACATTGCCTGAGTGGTCTTGTGTAGTTTTTGTTCAGTTTTCGCTTAAGGGTTTTAACCCAGCGGATCTCGTTTTGCGGCACGATCCCCGATGGTCCCCGAAGGGACCTAAGGAGGGGATTGAGGTTAATCTTTTTGATCGTAAGATCGATCTTCCTCATTGTTTTTCTTTTCATTAGAGCCCCTCTTAAACCTCTGACGATCTGGGGATCTTTTTAAATCACGCGTCCTTGGCGATCCCTCTGCCTCATACGATTCCATTCCAGGTTCAATCTTGACCCTTTCATCTTCACTCAGGGACTCACGGTGAAATCCCGAGTCACCAGAAGATCCGGACACGCGCACCACTGTTGTGGAGTGGCGATCACTCATTTTATGAGGTGATCTCGGCTCTCCACTGGTGCCCGAAGATCGACTATCGGAGAGGGTGCTCCGTTTCCGTTTCTTGTAATTCCTTCCTCACCTTTTGTACCCGTCGGTAGGGCGGGCTGCACTCTTCTCGGTGGACTCGTGTCAAAAGAAAACCGACCGTGCTTGGAATGGGTTGGTGTGATCGGTCGGAAATCTTCGCGCGATCACGGGGTACTTGTAGGGTGCTTGATATAAGTCACCCAGATCTCAACGAGATCGCCTAGTCCACTGTGTGGATGCTTGGTACGCGAGCCTTCTGACCACTTGAGCCGTCTCGAGATCTTGCGTCTTGTCCTTTTCGTTCTTGCTGCGTCCGATCGCAGTTGGGGGGATGAGAATTCTTGATCCCCAGCCAATGATCCGGGATATCATTTGGTTTTAGTATGCGTGACCTTCTTTACGTCGATGGGCAATATTCCATCCCGGAAGAGAAGTCGACGCGTGTACTTAGAAGCGAAATGAGTTCTGTTCAATGCCGACCAAATAAAAGCTAAGACTGTGACTATGTCTGTCTGTATGCTATGATGTTCTGCCACGTGTCCCCTTAATTCGGTGATGATCTTCGCATGTGTGGTCCACTTTAGACAGATCGTCGATCTCCTTGGCCGATCGTTGTCCGTCGATATCATTGTCCAATCGCTGATCGTCGACCTCCTTGGCCTATCGCTGATCGTCGACCTCCTTGGCCTATCGCTGATCGTCGATCTCCTTAGCCGATCCCTGATCTTTCCGATTGCTGATCTGTCCGATCATTGATCTCCTCGATAGTCAATCTCCTTAATCAACTTGCCTCCTTTATTGATCTCGATCTCTTCTACCGGCTGTCGATCGCCTTCCAGTATCTTGATCTCTGCCGATCTGTCAGCCATATCCCCGACCTTGAACATCTCATACTTCCTCAATCTCGGTACATTGGCTTGATCTTGGTAACTTGACATTCGATCCCTTCGTCGTGATATTTAGTTGCGGTATTGCTATATTCGCTCTCGGTGTCGTGATAGTCGATCTTGAAACTGTGATATTCGCTCTAAGTATTGCGCCCCTAATCAACCAGTCAATCCCTCTCAACGATTTGTCACCGTTGGAGATCACTCCCTTTATCGATAGGGCATTCTTCCAAAATCGCTCCACCACACTATCATGTGTGACAGTTTCGAGGTTTAATGGATATGCCATGTGAAGGTCTCACCTATTTGGCCGTGTTCAGACCAGATGATATGTAGGACTACGAGGAGACGATCGTTAAGTTGAGACAGGGAGAGACAGGGCGATGACTTGACAGGTGCACAGCGAGCTGACAACATGACGGCTGGGACAAGACGACGCGTTTGCAATGTGTGACTGACGTACGAAAAAGGGAGGAAAGACGGACACCATCGGGCAGGTTCATCGTCAAGTTTCAGTGCAGTTGTGGTGCATGTTGTAGCATTGACAAAGTAGATGTTTAATGCTAAAAAATAGTTGACTTTACTTCTACCTACCTTTGTACAAGTGCAAACCAAGCACCACGAATCTATAGGTTATGAGCCAAAGCAAGCGCGATGCCGGGGCCTCCGATCAGGCTGGACCCGCCGTGGTTACTGACGGTCCAGACAAGATCTATCACCAAGTTTTGGAAGAGAAGTCAGCAGCGCCCGTAGGGGAGATTGACCAGGTGCTGGCTATGCTCGGGGACCTATTCAATCGGATGAATAGGAAGGAGGTCGCCCGAAGGAGCAAGTCAGCAAAGACGAAAAGGATTCACCTGAGTCAATTTTCGGTTTGCCCCCAAGAGTTCGGAGCGAGGATGAGGCTTCAGTATTTGGAGCGAACCTCTCCTTCCAGAAGTCCCCAAACGTGTCGCCAGCGACGTACATCGGGGCAAGCCGCCATAACCAAGTGAATGTTATCGAATAACCGGTGAGCCATGTTAAAGCAAACTTCAACATATGACCATTTCATGAGCCTGTACACCACAGGCAGGGGTGCGTGCAGGATATATTCCCAGTGGATGGATGCTGAACATCAGTCATTTATCCTAGGCCGCAGGTTGCAAACATGCCGGACGCGCAATATCGAAATCTAGCGTTGCAACTCTTCGACGGATAGGAACTCTACCACGGACTTAGGAGTGGGTTCCTTTAATGGAAGAAAGAATTTTATCGCCAAGTCAGGTTTACGGAGCGTTCGTGTGGGTTCGCGTGTCCGGAGGATATCATGGTTGACGTCCTGGGGCAACACCTGGCCGGAAAGGCGCAGACGTACTATCGTCGGCAGGTGAAAACTTGGTGGTCTGAAAATCACACGTCCACAATGGTATCGACGTGATGAATTCCGATGTCGATCACATCGACATCGATGATGATAATGACGATGAAGCCTATATATCCAGCATCGCCGATGACTGCCACAGTGAAGAAGATGACGCCCTCACTGATGATAACGACGTTATTTCGGCAGTGCGCTTTGTGCGCACTGCTGTTGACAGGATTAATCAGCAGGTGAATTTCTGCTGACTCGCGAAGCTGTTTTACGCTTCGTTCAAGACTCTATTGCAGACTCAATGGAAAAGCAGAAAAGAAACGCAGACAAACATGGAAGAGAAAGTGTTCTTTCATTAAATGAAGGAGACTTTTTTTACTGTCAACCGTAAATTTACCAAAATAAGCAGTGACTAACGTGGGCTCCAGTGAATTACTGCCCAAGTAAATTGGTCCATTTCGTGTGTTGCGCCGAATGGGCAACGCATACACGATTGAAATGCCCCGTAAGATGCGTACGCATCCTACGTTTTATTTTGGACATCTCCGCCCGTACTATCAGTACGAGCCCTTATCGAGAGGCGAAGAATACCTCCGCGGTCGAGAGCCGAGAACACCTTCGAGTGGTCCCGTTTCAACGAGCCAGTCTGGTCGACTAGCGAAGCGACCTGTTCACGCAGTTGAGCGATGTTTTGATGAGCTTCAGCCAGCTTGTCACGAAAAGAACGAATCGAACGTTCGTTCTCAAGTTGCGCAAACGCAAAAGCGGCACGACCATCCAAACGATCGTGCGTTAGGAAATTGTAATTATC